TAGGCTGAATCAGGCTGCAGTCGTCGTTGCGTGGGACTGGGGCCTGGGACAACACATAAGGTTTCCTTTCTTTATTTTCCAGCCCTTTTAAGAATAGAATAAATCGATATGCGAGTTTTCTATCTATCATGTCAATCCAACCAATTCTTTTGAAATTCTTCACTATTTGTGTTTCCATACTCTCCTCATTTCCTTGGTCTCCGGTGACGAACTTCTCGCTCAGTCTAAATTGGTTGTGGTCCTTCCCCAAGTAAAGTTCAACTTGAATCTTTTTTTTTTACAACAATTCGACTTGAATCTTTGACCAGTGGTTCACGTGAGCTTGACATAATTCGTCACATGAATGGTGTCACTGATTTATCACCAGTGAGAAAATAAAAAAAAAAGAAACCACTAAAGGTATCAATCATCTATCACTGGCTGGTTCACGCCGAGAAGCCAAGGTTTGCAACACCATCACTGGCTCTTTGCTGCACTGTAGCTATATCATAATCCTGTTTGGAACCGCTTACGTGAAAATCGATTGTATCTAATAAGGATTGTTTGATAAGCCGCAGTTCGAAAAATCTACGATCTAGATAATCTAGATGTTTGGAAATCCTAATTGGCATATAATCCAGAGGATAAAATGACCTTAATAACCCTCTTAACCTTCATCAGACTGCCATCCGTTTCTTTTACTCCGATCCGTCCGTCGAGCGAAGCAGGATCGCTGAGGGGAGCAGGGCACCACCACCACGGCCACCGCCCATTGTCCTCGATTAGAGGAGAAGGTGAACGCCTCCCACATCCTGATCAAGCATGAGGGCTCTCGACGCAAGGCCTTGTGGCAGGATCCTGAAGGCATTGCCATCTCCGCCATGACCCGCGACGGTACAACTGACCTCGCGCGCACTCCGCAACTATATCGTATCCATGGACCGCTAACTCCAACCGTAGCTAGGCCAAGCGCGGCAGTGGCCTCAGTCTTGATCCTGCTTGTGCTGCCGCCTCCCATATGAAGGAGTGGTGGTGTTAGCGCCACGTGGCCCTGGCGGCATGGATGGGCGATTGAGCTAGGGAGGCGACGCTAGGATGCAGATGCGAGACGGCGAGGGAGCGGAGAGGAAGGGGCAAATGGTGAAAAACAGCTCACAGTGGAGGAAACACGAGTGGGAGGCCGCGGTACCGAAAACACGGGATGTAATGCAAGTTCGATCCTTTTCCCCACCCGATTCCCATATAATCAAGGAAAAATCTAGGTGTTTAGGTTGGATTTTTCACTTATTTTCATTTAGAATCTAATTTTAATCAGAAATAAACAAACACATCTTTACGGCCCAGTTTAAACCTCACGGTCTAAAGTTTAGTTTCATACGAAACTAATGACCTAATGAACTAATAGCCACTTTAGCACACTTGTGAGATCTAATAAACAAATGCTTTTTTTTTAGATTGGCTAAACTTTAGGCGACACTTTAATCTACCTATTTAGAGCCTTAAGAGAGCTAAATTTAGTGACTAAACTTTATACGTAGAATCTCCAAACAGGACCATAGCAAAGGTGTTGTCTCTTTTCTAGAAATTAGTGAAGTTAGTATTTTTGGCATAATAACTAACTTCGGCTCCTTATGAAGAAGCCAGAGCTAGAACCGGGTGAATCTGTATGAATCTGGCCCTATATTGTAGCCATAAAATTGTTATATACATATAGAGGAGATGTAGGCTGAAAAGGACAACATGGCTATACAGCAGAACTCCATCGTAAACATGGTTTGGCCTAAGCAAAACTTTATAACTGTTAATAAGTCGTCAAAAATCTTATATATGGATAGCGTAAGCTCTTCCCATTTAAATACAGCATTAGTGCCCCTGCGTCCGTATGCCGCACCTGCGCCCATCCCGCGATCCAGGAGCCCATCCCACGCCCCGCGCCATCCCAGGCCCCACGTGGGTCCCAATCACCTGCCCTGCTTGTGGATGCAGGACGTGGAGGTGTCTGCCGGCCTCAGGCGCTCGCACGGCGGCGCCCCCAGTAGCAGTAGGGCGGTTGCGGCAGATGAAACATGTGCTCTCCTAGATCTACTTTGAAACATCTAGATGAAACGCTTGCAACATACGTCTGAAATAGATAAAACACTTGCAACATACGCTTGAAACATGCGTGTATATTCATAGCAACATATGCAACAACGAGATCTACCTTTACATCATTCGGGTAAAACACTTGTAACATGAGTCTGAAACATGTGAAACAATTAAAAGATAAGCTTGAAACATGCGTATAGAGCCATAGAAACATATGCAACATTCAGACGAAATCCTTAAAACATACGTCTAAAACACCGGAAACACTTGAAACATAGGCTTGCAACATATGCACATCCAAGATCTATTTATAACATTCAGATGAAACACTTGAAACATATGTCTAAAACGCCTGAAACACTTGAAACACAACGTCGTTGGCGGCCACAACCTACCTGGTCCAGCGTACACACCCTAGGCACAGCGCGAAGGCCTCCGCTTCCTGCCAATGGGTGCGCTGGATGGGGGTGCAGGCCTCCCTTGCCTCTTCTTCTGTGACGGGGCAAAGTGGATGGGTGCATGGCGCGGGGCGCGGAGCAGCGCAGGATGTGCCCGGGTGCGGCGATGGAGAGGAAAGCGGGCGGGAGGCGCGACGGAGCACGGCAGCAGAGCAGTTGTGGCGCTGTGGCGATTTTTTTAAAGAAATTGCAATGCCTAAAGAGGAGCGGATAAGAGAGCCTCATGGGCATCGCGGCCCACCAACGGGGCCGTCCTGATGGACGTATGTCCTGGACAGAGCATCCGTTTAACTTGATATGAGTGCTCGCATTGACCTAGATTCATTCTATAATTTAATGTATTGTTTTTTATTCTAGAATTTAATGCATTATTTTTTTAGTGGTAGGCTATGCCTATTACTCCCTCCGTCTCAAAATAGAAGTCGTTATGGGATACGTGCAGATCAAATTTTCTCAACTTTGACTAGATTTATAAAAAATATGTGTAACATTTATATCTTCAAATAAGTTTATTATGAAAGTATATTCAACGATCTACCTAATGATACTAATTATGTATTATAAATATTAATAATTTTTTATATATATTTGGTTAAAGTTAAAATTGTTTGACTTCTCGGGAAGCGAGAATGATATCTATTTTAGGACGGAGAGAGTACGAAGTAAATTTCAAAATCAGTTCAATGTTTTGAATGCACTCATGCAGCGAGGTGTGTGTGCATGTTTTTCATAAGAGTATGCGTATATGCATAAATGCATATATCTATGATTTAAAAAAAAAGGAAAACACACAGTAAAGATTTTATTCGTGTCCTAATATGCAATTCCGGTTTCAAAGGGAGTCACGAACAGAGTAAAAAAACATATGCCACATGCCAACAGGCAACAGGACCACAGGAGTCTTGTATGTGGCCGGTGTAATGCGCACACATGCAAACTGGCAGCAAGAGATGAATAGGATAGCAACCGGTCCAGGACGCGGTGTGTCAACGACAGTGCCTTGAAAGCACGAACGTATCGTCAACAGAGACAAAGGGCTTGAGACGACAACAAGTGTGTAAAACAGGCAGTGAGCAACCACGCCATTGACTTTCATTGAAGAAGAGATCAGGCTTGTAGGTACAAGAATTTAAGGACAACAAGAGCAGAGGACACTTTAAGCAAACATTACAGATAGGCGAACCTTTTCTTTAATGATACCGGATTTCATTTGTTTTTAATGATTTCTTGCTAGCTTTTCATTTGTTTTTTTTCCATTAAAGACGCATTACTGGTTAGTGCTCTTCATAACAACTTGAATAGGCTGCTAGCTGCTAGTGGACCATTTCCATTCGTGTTGATTGATCTGAAAGCTTTTTCCTTGGATAAAAATCTTAACAATAATGCTGATTAAAATACCCGAATAATTTCATTAAGGTCGTGTTTAAATCTAGGAGTAAAGTTTAGGATATCACATCGGGTGTCACATGAGAGTATTCTGGAAGTAATAATAAAATAAATTACAGAAGTCATCGGTAATCGAAATGAATTTATTAAGCCTAATTAATCTATCATTAGCCCATGTTTACGGTAGCACCACGTTGTCAAATTATAAACTAATTAAGTTTAAAAAATTCATCTTGTAAATTAGTCTTAATCTGTGTAATTAGTTATTTTTTAAGTCTATATTTAATACTCCGTGCATATGTCAAACATCCGATTAAAGGGAGTAACTAAACAAGCCTTAAATTGCACTGCCAAATTGAGGAAATCCACATTAGTTGTGATGACATGTGCAGAAAAAAAGAATCATAAAACAAGAGACTAGAACTGCCCACCAACTTCGGGGTATATTCATGTTCTCCTCTGGGTCAGCAGTAATGTACAACCTAAACAATCAAAACCATGGCTAGAGAAAGCGCGTAGGATTTAAAATGGTAATCCATGATGCAATCGATGACCGCAGAAATGATATTTATGAATTCTAATTCAGAAATGTCTAAAAAAAATTGTGGCTGATCGTTTTCAAATTCACTGGAAATTGGCACACCACTGACAAAATCCAAGAACAGAGGTCATGACTACTACCATGAGGCAAAAAAATACAGTACAAGTAACATACTGCAAGCAAAGAAAGATACTAGGACTTGATTATATCCACAATTGAAGATGAAGATCACCAAGCAAGAGCAGAAAAGCTGAATTAATCCAACCATCATCACCATACTGCTACTTACTATGAGTCATGGCTACAATGTAGGACAGGAGTATATATACTACTACTAAAGGTACTAGTATTATGCGACGCTGATGAACTCTTCCAATCGGTCCCCAAATTAACGAATCTGTCACCACGAATCCCTTCCTTTCCATCGGCAACCAACTCAATCAAAAAGGGAAACAATCAGAACCATGGATCCAGCAGCAGCAGTTCGCCACACCTTGGTTCCTTTGCTGCAGCGTGCATCCTTGGCGGCTAGGCTAGGCGAGGCTAGGCTAGAGGTGGCAGTTGAAGCAGTTGCAGGTGCGCGGGGTGAATGAGCAGACGCCGAAGGGGCGGTTGGGGATGTTGCAGTTGATGGCGTAGCAGCAGGGCGCCGGGATGCACATCCCGTGCGGGCCCCCGCAGCAGGTGCACACCGCGCACACCTGGAACCGCCCCACCAGCCGCCGCCCGCGCCAGTGCTCGATGCCGCCGCCGTCCACGAACGTCTTCCTCAGCCGCGGCGTCCACGCCGCCGCCTCCGTCGTCACATTGCCGCCGCCGCCGCCGGTACCAGCCTACAGGAAGGGAAAAAACGTTGGTACAACGTGTTGCCAACCAACCCCCAGTCCCCACACAGGCGCGAGGGATAGAGAGAGACAGGGAAGGAAGGAGGGAGCCGTACCTGTTGTGGTGATGAGGCTGGAGGAGCTGATGCGGCGAGGACGGAGGAGAAGTGGAGGAGGAAGAGGAGCAGGAGCAGGAGAGGGATGGGTGGCCGCCTTGGCGATGCGGAACGGGAAGCCATCTTTGTGGCAGGGTGTGCAGACTGCAAAGGTAGAGGAAGGAAGGTGGGTTTTGTGGTGAGGCGTCGCATTTATTCGCGTCGGCCTGACCGCAGACCAGTGCAGTGCAGTCCAGCAGCCAGCAGAGGAGGGGATGCGATGCGCCGATGCGATGCGATGCGATGATGCAGTGCACCGCTGCAGCGGAGGTACAAGGTGGCAATGGAGTGATTAAGTACCATATTTACATTTATATTTTTGAGGCCAACCTCTCTGAATACAAAGACCCACACGTCAGATATCAATTTATTTGTTATTTTCTTTCCTTTTCTCCCTCGGTGACTCGGCGTGTCATAGCCTCCGTCCCGTTCCTGGTTCCACGTCAAAGGCTCTCAGCTATGTGATCCACCGCTCGCCCACGCTCGACTTCTCTAGCCGCCGACTTGTCCGAATGATGATGGAGGGACGTGGTGGGAGGCTTGGAGCCTTGGACGGAGGTGATGGCCATGTCTCACAGCGTGCAAGGAAAAAAAAGTCATAGTTAATGTGGGGCTCATGTTAATAAAGGAGATACAACTCTCTCTTTGTATCAAGGGAGATGAAAGAAATATCGGTCATCAGGGGAGATGAAAGAGATATCGGTAGTCACTAAAAAGGAACCATTAGGGTTTTTTTTATAGGGAAACCATTAGGGGTTTGATAGACTAAGCAAACAAACATATCTCCTCATCTATGATATTTTTACGGGGACGAGACCATATTAGAAGACTGCTATCTAGAGATACTCTAAGATGCCTAGCGAGATATGGTACTAGGTTATGAAATTTAACGTGAGGCCTACATAGACTTCGTAAAGTTTTTATTTAGTTTATTACACATTTATCCTCGTAGGGACACTGCCTCGTAGTAGTTGTCATTGTCAATCAATGAAATAGCCACTTTATGCTCGCTTGTTAAAGACAAGGTTTTTTCATTTTAGTGGGAGTTAATAATTTGGAATAAATATGCTTTTGACATATAACTCTAAAATTAGAAATCTTTGATCATCAAGCTATCAATATTAGATAAATTTGGCCATTTAGCTAGTTTCAAATATGACCATTTACTCTTGAAAAAACAAATCTAGTTAAGTTTCTAGGAATTCATAAATAATTCATTTTCAAACATAAAAATATGAAACCATAATAAAAGTATTTCTAAAAATATGATCCACATGTTGGTGCTCTATTTGGAATTATTGTGATTTATTTGCTCGTAGTCATGTTTGCTACTTATTTACGAACCGAGCATATCTTAGATGGGTATGCTTCTTGTGATGGAATCTTCTCATTAGGTTCAGGTCCTCAACTTGATGTAGGTGCTTTGTAGTTTTTTTTGAATTTATTCTATGGTTTTTGATGATGTTGTTCTTTTAGTGGTAATCGATGTTTTCGTCAACAGCGATATGCCTATAGTGAATTCTACCAATGGGAGTAGCTCCTTATGGCACTAACCTCCTTACAATAGTCCCTTGTAATACATGATTACAAATGCTAAAGTAAAGTGAGGTACTAATCACAATGAAGAACAATGAATTTTCTAATCTTTTGTACTGTCCTTATATGGATTTTTTATACTACTCATGCTTATTAATTACATGCTTATTAAGAGACGATCAAGTCAGACTGATAAGCTAGGCTGAAAAATATTATTCACTAATTTATTATGAGAGAAAAATACTATACCATAGCTAATAAACAAGTTCAAACAAACAGATAATGGTTGGTCACCGCCACTGGTAGTATAAGGACGTCTCCAACACTAAGTGAAAGTGCTAGCACATAATATATTTTATTCCACGAGAACAAGAGAGAACACAAAAATTGAACTTGATAGTGACTCGCCAAGCAGCAGGCACGCACAAAACCCAAAAGCTCACGGCTGACGCTCTGCTCCCTTTTCATCTATCATGTACTGTATATATAGTGTTTTCTTCTATCTTTTTTAACTTTCTTTCTCCTCTGGTATTTGAAGGGGTCCACTGCGGACGCCCTGAGAGGCGCCATCATGCTTTACAAAATCAGAACTAGCTGGAACATAACACATAAGTAAAAACTTTAAGAAAAAAATAGCTACGGATATAAAAAATGTTGCCTTACATATCTAGTAAACGTGTACTCCCGGTCTCTTTTTATCCATCTTTCTCACTTCCTAAGAAGACAAACACACTTAACTTTAACTAAATATATAAAAATATATATTAATATTTATAGTATATAATTAATATCATTAGAGATTATTAAATATATTTTTATAATAATTTATTTGAAGATACAAATATTGTTAATATTTTCTCCAAACTTAATCAAATTTGAGAAAATTTGAGTAGGACAAATCCTATGGCGATATTTAAATAGGGACGGAGGGAGTATATTGGAACCTCAATGGACCTCACAAAAGCACTCCTCAGCTGGCGACTCCTCCGAAGAAGTTTTAATAAACGTTTTGCAGGAGAAGTCGTCTTTCAGCGAAAAATAGAGGAGCGTTGTTTCGAAGAGCCAACGAATAAAAAGCCTTGGCTTCTAGCCCTGTTTTGTAGTAAAGTTAGGTTACCGTGAAATTACTTGTTGAAACATTTTCCTAAATTTGCTTTTCGACCTCCCACAGATTCGTAGTATTATTCACAGACACGAAAGACACTTATTTTGACTATAGATGGGGCCGTCCACCGTGCGTGTGTACTGCTGCTGCACATCGATTCAGCCAGCGCAGCAGCTTCATTAGAGAAGATCTGCATGCTTCCGCGTACCGTGTAGATCGGGATGCGGACGGGACCGATGGTTGGCGCGCCAGCGTTGGCCATTAATTCTACAAGTGGCTTGGCACGTATGCAATTGCATTATTCGTCCTGTTCGTTTAGATTTGTTTAGCTGATAAGCTATATTAAAAGTACTATTGACTGATTTGGTATACGAGAAAAATATTGTTAATTGGCTAAAAAAATACGGCTTATAAGCCAAATAAATCCAAACAAATAGGACAATTATGTGGCCCCCGGTTGTGGGAATGGAATGGGCGGATGTATGGCTGCCGTGCCCTGCATGGACACGGATGGTGAGTTGGGCGCACGCAGGTCGGTTTGGTTGGGAGGGACAGGGTAGAGCTAGAGCACATCAAAAGAGCCTTTTGTCTTATAAGCACAAATTTTATAAGATGGGTAAGTATATGATAATATTTGTGATAATTATTGTTTTTTATCTTTATCCGAGTGCACCAAAAACCTCATCAATATTAAATAGGAGTTATACTAAAAGCCTACTTGACTGCTCCGTTAACTCTACTCCACAAATAGCCGCTCAAAAAAAACTAGAGCTTCGGGAGCATTTTTTTTTTCCTAAAGTAAAGTTTGTGAAGTAGTATCTATTTGGATGAAAAATATGAAGCAGAGCATGATAAGGACGGGTTCCTAGTCTTCCGTCAGGGTAGATAACTATTGTTTTAGCGGAGCACGACACGCTGATGTGTCTTGAGATCAAAATACCCGAACCCTGCAACCTTAGCAGCACGACTTCTCTGGTTATCAACCTTGTCACAAGTCTAGTTAACTTCGCCGAAAAGGCTATTTCCTACCTATAAAATGAAGAACACAAGCAAAAATTTGAAAGAACGTAGCTCAATGGAGTTAAAAACTGCAGATGATTAAGATCACGAAAATGGTGCGGTAACAATTTACCACGAACACTTGCTCTAACCCATGGCTTATTTTTCAGATGCCAGCAATTTGGTGCTAAGATCGCTGCCATTTCCCAATGACCTCGTGGCATACAGCTCAATATACAATTTCTTCGTCTTGGGTATCAGCCAGATCGTCCCTATGTTGATAGGCAATAAGATGAGAACAAAAGAGACATACTAGTTTCCATACGCATGAACAGCATGACTGATTGCACAGTGAGGCTATGAGCTCTGCCTAGCCCACCACCGGTGGCCACCCCGTCCCCGTCGGCCACCAAGCCCTGTTGCCGGCCAGTCTGGCTACGGCGCCCAACCCAGTCTAACCCACCGCCGGTGGCCACCCTGGTCCCGCCGTCCACCAGGCCCTCCCCGCCACCCACTCGCGGCTGCCTCCCCATGGAGCGTGGGTCTCCGTCTCAACAGTCCTAGGCCCACGAGGTGGAGGAGGAGGAGGTCGTTGGGGTCCGTAGAACCTCAACCCCAACGCTGAGCCGTTTGTCCGGGATGCCTCTCCCTACAGCCTGCGCTCCAGTCTGGGGGGGAGGGGGAAGACTCTCCTTCAACGTTTTGGAGGACTACTCCGGATCTGAAGCCCCACCTGCTGACGTGAGAGGCAAAGCTCCTGTTGCGGCCGATGTTCGTTGCCGCCACCGTCGTCGCCGCCAGCGTCATGCCCGTGTCGTGGGTGGGTTCATGGTGGATGCACGTCGCAGTCACCCCGACGATGTACATGTGCCTGCTCCCAGGGTGCGTTCAATTGTTGTCCACTCGGCACGTACATCCTCCGTGCTCGATGCCGACGTGCACAGTCGGCGACGCTAGCGGCGGAGGCAACCGACGCGCGCGCCCAAGCCAGTCCCGGCAGACCTCGTCGGCCTTTGCTTTAACTGCCATGGCGACGATCACGTCAAGGCAGACTGCAGGTTCCCCTCGTGCTGTCGCACCTACAGGCGTGAGGGTCACCATGCGCGTCACTGCCCTTCGGGTCGCGCCTTCGTGGGGGCCAAACATGGCCGCTCCCCGGCTCGCTCCGGTTCTGGCCGTGGTCTACCTCGTCGTAGGGCGTTGTGAAAGGTCCTAATATGGCTAGAGGGGGGTGAATAGCCTATTTAAAAATCTACAAATCAACTAGAGCAATTTGATTAGTATGACAAATAGCGTAATGCAAACTTGCTCTAGCTCTACAAGGGTTGCAAGCCACCTATCCAACAATTCTAGTTGCAATGAATACTTAGGCACACAAACTAGCTATGTAATTACTCACTAAGAGCTCTCAACCTTGCTACTCTAAAGAGCTCAACTAGATGAA